TCTTTTCCTTCTTTTCAAGTATGTGAACTACGGTTGAATTTTATACTGTTCTCACATCTCTAATTTAGGTAAATCTTACTAATTGCAAGTCAATATGTCAATAAAGAAGGATTCTCTTTTAAATTTGATTGCTTCAATCTCTAGGACTTAACTATGCTAATAATCCCTTATTAAAAGTTGAATTTCCTTAAGTATTTGGGACATAACTAAGGCATTTGGTGCGTCTTCTATTTTATGCACTTGCTTTTTCTTATTCTTTTTTTTCTCAATCTTTTTTTTTCAACATTTTTTTCTCTATTTGAGGCAGTCTATCCTTAACCTTTCTAAATGACCCATGTAACAAACTTTCGGCTGATGACTCCCAAGTCAGATGACCATAGGAAACCAGGTTTTAAAGACCATTGCAGGCTCAATTGCTCGAGTCATAAAGGGTACGAAGAGAAATTTTCAAATAAAATATTTTTTTATGCCTTTATTAGTGCAATATCCCTCATTAAACATTTATCCAAGTAAACCAACCTTTAATTTAAGATTTTCACCAAATAGTATCTTATTGACCTTAGACAATTCATACAAGATTTTTAATTTCACACATGGAATCCCTATTTGTCTCAATATCTCCCTACAAGAGTGAAATCCCCCCAAACTATTCTAAATTTGGTCCAACAATATAGAATATAGTGGTTTTAGGTTTAACATCTATGGTCCACTATTTCAACCTATCCAATTATGAAATCAACTTATTTCTACACCATGCTTAACTTAATCCATGTGCCCAATATATATCAAATTTCATATGTAAAAGCAAAAATTAATCTAAGCATGTACATTATTCACCATTCATAGATCAATTTATAATTCAATTTATTCATCATTGCCAGTCAGACCAACTAACTCACATAAGCATACAAAAAGAAAATATTTTTGAAATTTTTCAATTTTTTTAATATTAAAACACACAAATAAATTTCACATGGAAAAGCAAAAATTAATCTAAGTATGCAACTTATTCATCAATCATAGATCAATTTATAATTCAATATATTTATCATTGTCAGTCAGGCCAACTAACTCACACAAACACACAAAAAGAAAATATTTTTGAAAGTTTTCAGTTTTTTTTTTAATATTAAAGCACCCAAAAACAAAATGAAAACTCATGTTTTCCACCCCAAACTTAAAGTAGACATTGTCCTCAATGTCTTTAATTCTAAATCCGCATATAAAGGGGTGGGGAAGAATGTGAAGAAAAGACTATCCTGATATGACGTGTAATTCCATGGTTAGCTTTCATATTGCTCAGTTGGCTCCTTGATCAATATTGGTTTAAATGTTCCGCAATGTTATGTTCCTGAAAAATCAAATAAGGCATTAAGATCAAATAACTGGAACATGTGTTACTTAACTCTAACATCAAATAATCCACTAACTTATCAAAGTCCTAAGGGGAAACAGGTAAGGTTGATGAGTTCCAAATAAACTTAAAATAAATTAAATTGTCCTAAAACTTAAAAAAAAAAATAAATAAATAAAAAGGAATAAAACTTGGGTTGCCTCCCAAGAAGCGCTCATTTAACGTCATTAGCTTGACGTTGGCAATCCGCATCATCGAACTTTGAAAAAAGATTTTGATTCATTGTTCATTTTTCTTCTTTTGATTTTGCTCCACTCTTTGTTATTTCTCCAAACTTCAACATTGTCCTTTTCAATGTAATATGATTTTTCCATTCCATCCAATTCAAACTCAACAACGTAAACTTCAACTTCCTCATCGGACTTAATTACAAAATCAATTTCTACACAATCAATGAATTTGAACGAATGTACATTGCTTTCATCTTCATTGATTTCTACTTCTTCATTCGGTTCCTTTGTGATCAAGTTATCATTCACTTTAAACTCCTCTATGATCATTGAAATTTTTTCGGGTTGAATGATCGGTCCACAATCTAGATCCACAGACAATGAGAAGTCGGTCCCATTGACTCCTTGAAGTGGATTGTACTCCCATTGTTGAAATCATCCCCAGTATATGAAATCTCCCATGAGCATATCGTTTTCATTCAACTTGGCAAGTTCTTTAAAGTACCGTGCAACTTTTCGTTCAATAGGGGATGACCATCTCCCACAAGTTTGATGTCCTCATCCCAATCGTCAGACACAAAATCTCCCACGAGCATGTACTTTTCATCAGATTTTTCAATTGCTTGTTTTCTCTACATCAAATATTTTTGAAATCTAAGAAGTTTCGGTGTGTGTAAACTAGAGAACAAGCATTTTCTAGTACAATGCACCGCGTAACAATTTTCACAACTTGGATATCCTCCAAGCATATCTTAACAATCCATGTAGAGATTTGTCATTGCAACAACTTTGTTATTTTACCAATGTTAGAATCATGCATGATATCTGAAAAGTACAAAGAGAGAATACCAACATAAGATAGATTAAAACCGTAAGTAGTGAGTTAAACGATATAAAAAAGCAAATCAAAGAAAAAAAAATCAAATAACAGTTAAAAATAAGACAAACTAAGACTAAAAGTAAATAGTCCCCGGCAACGGCACCAAAAGCTTGTTGCGTTTTTCTATCGCAAGTGTACGATATCGTGACAAGTAGTAAAGTGGACATTTGAGTCCGGATTATCGTTCCCACAAAAACTATACTTTAGTCTTAATCTACTTTTTCTAATTCTTATTTGATAAAAGACAAACAAATAAATGATTGTGATAGTTGTGAATATTGATTTTCTAAAATGAACTAAATGACTAAAACAAATGAAAATTATGATGAAATAACAAATACAAATGGATCAAAGATTCATGTATGTAAGATATATTAGGGCAAAAGAACTTCATCTAATGATCACCTTAATTCTCAATTCAAGATTCTAGTCTAATATAGTGTTCGGTCGAATTCTCCTACGGTATTCAATTTACCCTTCTCGAGTTCTCATTGAGACTATTTAACTAATTCAATTCAATATCTCTATGTGAAATACCCTTAGTTAAGGGAATAAGCCCAAATGAGACCATTATGAGTATAATGGAGGCCCATAAACGGAGGATTATCATAACCCAAGCCTACAGGGCTCCCAGAATCTGAGCGAATGAAATGCCTTATTGTTGCTCAGAGCTACGACCTCATTCTCACTCAAGCCTTCGAAGACGCCCAAGATCTGGGCGAACATAGCATCCTGTTTAAGCGGCGATTATTGAAGCAGTTTTTGAGAAGTCTTATCACGTTCCATGATCCAAAAATCTCGGTTGTAAACAGTTAAGGAGAGTAGTGGTAGCAGTTTAAAAACGACAGTTCCTTGACAGTCAGCTATTATGAAGCAAGTGGGCAGTTATAGAGCGACAAACAATTTCCAAATGGTTTCACAAAGAACACTAGTGAAAGAGTATAAAAGAAAATGAAGACATAGAAAGAAGGCTCCAAATCAATCACTCTCAAATAGAGAATATGTAATTTTATTTCTTTTAATTCTTATCGTTAACTTTCGAATTACTTTGTGTGCTTGTACTCTTTGGAAGCGTTCTGTTTCGTTTTTCATTGTAATCTTCATAAATAAAGTACCCATCGTTGGGAGTTTGTTTCAAAAGGTTTGTTCCTTACACAATCGTCTGAACCATCTTTTAATTGTTAGCGATGGTCGATAAATCCGCGCGAAACAAAAAGGTTATATTATAATTCACATATAGATGATATGTCAAAAAGAGAGCTGGGAAGATTTTTTTTTTTTTTTGGTTGAAGATACTCTGATCCATTATATCTCACCAAATCATGTATATATAAGCCATTATGTACACATATCATAACAGTTCTTTTTTTTTCATTGTATTTAGTTGTTTAAGTACACTGTTTCAATCTAATTTTTCTTTAAAATATTTTTTTTTTTTCAATTTGAAATAAATAGGTACAAACTAATTTTCCTTGCACGTTTACGTTAAATAAATAAGTATGAAATTAAGTTTTAAAATTTTGGTTTAACTAGATAATTTCATTTGAGTAGCTGTAACTTATAACTCTAGTATAAAAAATAAGAAAGAGATGAAGATTAAAAATTAAATTTAGCCCCTGATTGATGGTCTTCTAATTACCTCTGTTTGGTGGCTTTTTTAATTTTTTGGAAAAAAAAATTTATTTTGAATAGTGAATTATTGGAGAATGTAGTTCAATTTTTTTTTCAACATACTCATTTTCAGCCACATTCACAAAATAAAATATTTTGCACAAACTCAAAATGTTTCTCTACTATTTTAACTTCAGATTATCCACAAAATAACTATTCAAAATATCTTTTTTTTTCTTCAATTTAATGGCCATCAATCTGGGACTTAATAAAAAGTAAGAAAGAGAAACAAAGTAAAAATAAAATTTAAGGTAAGCATGTTTTGTTTTAGTGGGTGATTTGGAAAATTAAAGAGAAATTTAATAAATATTAATTATGACAAAAAATGACTACATGTCATGAATTGAGTGGATGACACNAAAAAAAAAAAAAAAAACTACATATGAGTAAATTATTAAAGGGAATTTCTTACCCCCAGTCTCCAAACATCTTCACTTGTCTCACTTGGATCCCCATTTATTTTTTTATTGCCTTTAAGTCCCTATACATTTATTCTATTAGGGTTTTTTTTTTTCCCCCCTATCTATCCATACCTTAAATAGTTTAAAGTGACTATTTGAGAAAAGTTGAACGATTTCCGTCTATTTGTCCTATCATGCACCAAAAAGGACAGTTTAGGGACATAAATGCGATTAAAAATTGAAATGGAGCCCACGTCCAACAATTCATAATGTTTAGGGACTGGATGAGAATTTCCTATAATTAAATACAGAATCAAACGCCATTTCCCCTCACCGATACTGTTGAATGGCACCAGTACAGTGCGAAAAGTCACTTCTCAAGCGCCACCATTCTGCCTATATATACAGATGCATATACATACACTGAACCATTTCTTCACCGGCCAGTACAAAAATTTGTAAAAATGGAGTCAAATGACCCCTCTCTTTTCCCCCTGGAAACCTGCCCTCCAGTCACTGAAGAACAATTCAACATCTTTCACTCCGGCGACCGGAGACTGTATTCCGGGTTGGTCATTGATCTCCGTAGAGACCCTGTTGAGTCTATGCAAGTTATGGCCTTTTGGATGTGGCTCGAAAAAGAGGGAAATGACAAGAAATTGGTCGATAGAATGTTGTCTTTGCCTCTTGTGTTGTTGAATGAATTGGCTGATGAAACAGTTTTGTGTTTGAAATGTGTTAGAAACGACAGATATCCATTTCTAGACGGGCACGAACAGATTAGTTTGCTTCCTGATATCGTGAGTAGCAGGATTAGCCTCCGGTATTTTCATGAAAACAGAATTAGAGTGTTGCGCTGTGTTACACAGATGATGATTTCCGTATGTGGCCGTGCTTTTATGGACATTGTTCAGCGTGCTATGCAACGAAATGCCACTGTGCATGCACCACAAGAGGCTGAACCTGCCGCTGGTGTTGGTGGTGGACGTAGCCATCTTGGTGGGAGAATGCTGTTTGGCGGTGGAAGTATTCATGACGTTGGAGAATCAAGCAGGGCTGTAGAAAACAGAAATGAGGGTATACTAGAAAATCCTATGACGCCTATTTTCTACAATCCTTTCATGGATGTACCATTTGGAATCCCTACTGTGCCGACAGTTCCCGGCGACAACCGCCCTCTGCCTCCCGTTGGATTCCCTATTCACGGGGCAGGAGAGTTGCCCTTGCCCACCTATGATTTTGTGTTACAGCGCGAAATTTTAAGCAATGAACTTGGCGAAATGTTGAGCCGAAACCTTACTTTTTCAGGGGATCAAGAACAAGAAATCCCACCTGATGATCGAACAATTTTCTTGACATTTTCCAAGGGTTACCCTATATCAGAAGATGAAGTCAGAGACTTTTTCACAAGGTAAAACCCACACACATACAAACTCACAAAATCATTTTATTTTAGTCCTTTGTCCTAATTATCAAATTTGTGCACAGGAGATTTGGAGATTTCATTGAAGACATTTTCATGCAAGAAGTGGATGCTGGAGAGCAACCACTATTTGCACGGCTCGTGGTCCGGTCCAGTTCGATAATTAACAGCATAGCTGGTGGAAGCAAAGCAAAGTACACCATAAATGGGAAGCATGTTTGGGCAAGAAAATATGTGAAAAAACAGCATCAGCAGCAGCAGCCAACAAGGGCTTATTATACCAGGCAACCCTAAATTTGATGTCACACTTTTAGCATTAAATGTGAGAGAGAGAGAGAGAGAGAGAGAGAGATGTTCTTTTATTATCTTATTTTCTAAAAAAAAAAAATACTGGTATTATCTTTGATTTTGTGAGTGGGTGTTTTTGTTTTTGTAAACATTGAATTTGATGTGTAATTGTTGTTGGAATTGTTATTGAGAGTATTTATAAATCATAATGATTGTTGGATTATATATTGATTATTAGTTTATCCACATTTAATAAAAAATCTCTTTTTCATCTTTCAATTCTATCCAATTCATGGGACATGCTTAATTTCCAGGTTTCATTTATTTCTTAATTAATTAACTTTCCTCTTTGTATTTGCTTTACATGCATGTGCTGGCATAGCTAATTTACCCATTGTTAAGCATTATTAATATTGCAAGAGTAAATAAATTATTGTATTTATCGAGAAAAAAATTCTATAAATTACTTACTGCATTTTTCGACAAAATTAATGCACACAGTTTTCTCTTTCAACACTTGTGTACTTTGACAGCACTGAATTTTTGAAATTCTAAATCCACAAAAATAAGAACCAGAGTGCAATATGTCGAAATATTAGAATTAGCACAGTGGTATTTATGGCAATTCACCTCTTTTCATTCTGTTTGGTTAGTTAGAAATTGTATATACATGTTGCTTCCATTCATTGTAAAATAGATTTTTCATTTTCCAATTGAATGAATTGAGTTTTCCCGCCTTTCACTTCCCCTATCATTTCAGTGTATTCATTCAGATTTCAACATGGTATCAGAGCGAAAAGCTTTTTCCTTATGCGACTCTATTGTCTTCTTCTTCTTAATTATATCAGTGATAGATGACGAGAGACTCTAGTGTTTAGGCAAAGGGTCAAAGTCAATTTAAACAGACAAACTCATTCATTGAATCGCCAGCTGAAGATGCAGTTAGAGGAGATGTAATTTCTATGATCAATCGGCTGATGAGTGATTCAAGTAGCCCTTACTATCTTCATTATGGAGATAATGCTGGAATGCAATTGATTTCCATTACTCTTACTGAAGAAAATTATGCTACATGGAGAAGCAGCAACCATGTCTCTCAATATTAAAAATAAGGAAGGTTTTATTGATGGATCTATCACTAAACTTTCTCAGGATGATCCTTTGTACACTGCTTAGAGGAGATGCAATCATGTAGTTTCCTCTTAGATCATCAATTCAATTCCTAAAGAGCTTTATCTAAGTGTGATGCATAAGGATTCAACAAGAGATAAATGGATTGAACTTCGTAATAGGTACAGTCTCAGTCAGGGGAATGGACCTTGGATCTATGAATTGAAGAAGTAAATTGCTTCAATTTCTCAGGCGAACCATTCGTTTAATTCCTATTTTAATATGCTCAAAGGACTGTGGGAGGAATTAGAGAATTATAGGTCTGGTGCTGATAATACTGAATACAAACGTGAGGATCAGATGATGCAGTTCCTCATAGGTTTAGATTATCATTTTGCTGGTGTTAGAGGTCAGATCCTGCTAGATCCATTACCTTTGTTGAATAAGGCATTTGCTCTCATTTTACAAGATGAGAGGCAAAATGAGATAGTTGCTAACAGACAAGAAACACATGATGCTGCATTTGCTAGTAAAGCTATGCAGAAGCCTTTTAATCGAAGGTTTAGTTCTGATAATCATTCTCAGAAAAGAGAAAGACCTGTCTGTAGTTACCGTGGTATGCTTGGCCATATCAAAGCTAAATGTTACAAGTTAATTGGCTATCCACCTAATCACAAAGCTGGCGAAGGAAAACCTCCAGTTGTTAATGTTGTAAGCCAAGCACATCATGGCCAAACAATTCATTGTGATACCCCAGGGATACTGAACTCCCTTTCACATCTCACTATTACTCCAAATCAGTGTCAGCAGATATTAGCTATGTTAATGCCTCAATTGCAAGTCAAGTCACTCAGATTCAGCAGTCTTAGGATGTGCCTGTATCTTCCCCCTTATATCCTGATTCATTTGTTTTCTTAGGTAATCAAATTCAGTTCATAGATACTGGTGCTTCAGAACATATGGTGTATTCTGTCAAGCATTTGGATGTTGTGGCTACTGTTATTGGGGCTTCTGTGAGATTGCCTAATGGTGACGCTGTTGAAGTTACTCATATTGGCAAAGTGAAGTTGTCTCCTACTTTGTGCTTGAGTAATGTGCTTGTGGTGCCATAAGTTTGAATTCAACTTCATTTTAGTTAGTAAATTGATATTTCAGCATAATTGTTATTTGATTTTTTCCATGACTCTTGCTTTATTCAAGATCTTTCAACGTGGAAGACGATTGGGGAAGACAAACTTAAGCATGGACTATACCATTTCCAACAGCCTTAGTCCCAAATCAGTGTTCAACATTCATACCATCATCTACTTAAACATGGTTCTGATAGCTCCAACATCAGAACATCTGCTGCTATTCCTAATGATATCTTTAGTTCTAGCTTTCATTTTGAATGTAATAAATCTACTCCTATTTGTAATACCATTGATGGCACTAATGTCAAAATGAATATTGATATTTGGCACTGTCGATTAGGGCATTTTCCTGCTTCCAAACTTTCTCTTTTGCATAAATTTATTCCTAACATTGATGTCAATAAGGATTTACATTGTACTGTCTACCTCTTAGCCAAACAGCACCGACTACCTTTCCTTAATAGTGACACTAAAGCCTCACAAATATTTGAACTCATCATTGTGACATTTGGGGCCCTATTCTGTCACTTCCCTAGATTGTTCAAAATATTTTCTAACTATTGTTGATGATTATAATAGAATGACATGGACCTATCTTATGAGGAACAAATCTCATACTAGAACTCTCATTCAATCCTTTTACCATCTTATTCAAACTCACTTTCAGTGAAATATAAAGACTATCAGGTCTGATAATGGATTGAATTTTAAAATGACCGATTTCTACCTTTCCAAAGGCATTATCTATCAACTCAATTGCATTGAAACACCACAGCAAAATGGTGTGGTTGAAAGAAAACACCAGCACCTACTTAACATTGCTAGAGCCCTTAAATTCCAAGCTAATTTACCTCATCTTTTTTGGGGAGATTGTGTCCTAATAGCCACACATATTAATTATAAATAGAACACATACTTATCTGCTTGATAACAAATCCCCTTATGAAATGCTATTTAAAATTGCACCTTCTTACAACCACCTCAAATTTTTTGGGTGTCTTTACTATGCCTCAACTTAGAAGAGAAATAGAACAAAATTTGATCACAGGGCTGTTCTATGTATCTTCATTGGCTATCCATTTGGAATGAAAGCGTATAAACTTTCAATCTCAAAACCAAGGCTATATTTGTGTCCAGAGGTGTTTCATTTTATGAGAATATCTTTCCTTTTCATCATCCTACTCTTCTTGCTTCTTTATCTAAATCTGATCATGTGACTGAACCTTAGTCTGTTATATTTCCCACTAGTTCTAATCTAAATGTAGATGATTTTACTCCAATGTCTGTTTCAGACAACTCAAACATATCAGCTCAGCCTCATTCTCCAAATTCAGCTACATTTTCTCCTACTGTTTCTCTTTCTTCACCTATAGAATCTATCGAGACTTCATCTGCAAATCATTCATTACCTCCTATCATACCTACACAACAATCCACTAGATCAAAACGTGCCCCTTCATACTTACAAGATTATCATTGTAGTCTCTTGCATGAGTTGTCAATCCCTCAATCAGACTCTATGAAGAAAGGTTCTGAGTATGGCAAGCAGTATCCCATTGAGGATTATTTGGATAATGATATGTTGTACCCTAATCACAGGAGATATACTTTGGCTTTGTCTACTGCTTTTGAGCCCAGAAACTTTATTGAGGCCTCACAACATCATGATTGGGTTGCAGCCATGGATGCTGAATATAATACCTTAGTCTCCAACAATACTTGGGATGTTACCACACTCCCGATCATAAGACCTTTGTTGCTTGTAAGTGGGTTTTTCAAGGTTAAAATGAACTCTGATGGTACAGAAGAAAGGAAGAAGGCCCGCCTAGTAGCCAAAGGATTCACTATGAAGAAACGTTTTCCCTTGTTGCAAAATTAGTAACTGTTAAAACTCTCTTGGCAGTTGCAACCACTAAGCAATGGCATCTTCACCAAGTGGATATCAATAATGCCTTCCTTCATGGTGAGTTAGATGGGGAGGTCTATATACTTATGCCTCCAGGTTATAAGCAGCAAGGGGAGCAAGGTGAACTGCTGGTTTGCAGGCTAAACAAGACCATCTATGGGTTGAAACAAGCCTCGAGACAATGGAACATGAAACTCACTTCCTATATTCTGTCACAAGGCTTCAGACAGTAAAAATCAAATTATTCCTTGTTTAACAAAATAGATGACTACTCATTTACCACATTTTTGGTGTATGTGGGTGACATAATAATTGGGAGAAATAATCTGACTCACATTGAACAGTTCAAGGCTGAACTAAATAAGCAATTCAAGTTTAAAGACTTGGGAATCCCGAAATATTTCTTAGGTCTTAAATTGGCAAGGAATTCAACAGGAATATTCATTTGCCAAAGAAAGTATGCTTTAGATGTTCTAATTGATGCTGGATATCTTGGTGCTAGGCTAGTAAATAGTCCCTTACCATATAATCTGAAGTTGAGGAAGGATGAAGGTGAGGCTATTGCAGATCCTAGTGTTTATAGGAGGCTTGTAGGAAGAATTTTGTACTCGACAATAACTAGGCCAGACTTATCTTATGCTATGTAAGTCTTGAGCCAATTCCTCCAGTCACCAAAATAGCCTCATCTAGAGACAGCCTATTACGTGCTAAGATATCTGAAGAGAACACTAGGACAAGGGCTATTTTTTCCTAGCAAATCAGATCTTTAGCTCAAAGGGTACTGTGATCTGATTGGGCAGCATGTTCTTATACAAGAAGGTCTATTACGGGTTATTGCATATTCTTGGGGAATTTTC